CTAGTGCGGAGGTGCGTGATGAGATCAGCGACAGTGGGAAAGGCGGCAAGGTCAGGGAAGAGGAAGGGGAGCATGAGGCGGCTCAGTGCAGCAGTGGCAGGGGAGGAGTAGCGCGCAACTACAGCGTCGTACAAGGTCTGGGCACTCTTGTACTGGCTAAAGTGCGCGCAATCAGCGGTAGGCAAGTGGCGACGCACAGCAAGACGTGCAGCAGCATCGCGCGTGGCCCAGTGTGAGCGAACAGTGGCGTCAGCATCAGCAGCAGGGGAAGGGACGGCGCCAGAGGTGAGGTCAAAGAGAGACAGACCGTTCGCCCTATCGCACTGTAAAAACAGCTGCAGGTCGTCGAGCCAGACCTCGAAGTCTATGGCTCGACCCTCAGCGTCAAAAGCAAGGACACTAGGGGTAGCCATGACGACGACAGTGAAGCAGTGCAAGCAGTAGGGGAAGGGCACGTAGTGATAGCGGTACAGTGCTCACCGGGCAGGGCAGGTCGAGCGGCTCGGTAGAAAGGCGGCTCGGCTACTCAGCAACTCGGCTCCCGGGCGGCTCGGCTCCCAGGCGGCTCGGCGGTAGGGCGGCTCGGGCGGGGCGGCTCGGCTGCCAGACGGCTCGGGTGCAAGGGCGGCTCGGTTGCACTGCTGCTCGGCTGCTGCAGTTGGGCGGCTCGGCTGCTGCAGTTGGGCGGCGCGAGATCAAGGGACGGCGGGGCCGTGAGTGCTGGGGCGGCGGGGCCGTGAGCGCTGGGGCGGCGGGGCCGCTAGATCAGGGGCGGCGGGGCCTGGAGCGCTGGGGTGGCGGGGCCGTGAGCGCTGGGGCGACGGGGCCGTGAGCGCTGGGGCGGCGGGGCCGCGTATCAGGGGCGGCGGGGCCGGGAGCGCTGGGGCAGCGGGGCCGCGTATCAGGGGCGGCGGGGCCGGGAGCGCTGGGGCGGCGGGGCCGTGAGCGCTGGGGCGGCAAGGCCGCGTAGCAGGGGCGGCGGGGCCGGGAGCACTGGGGCGGCGGGGCCGCGAGATCAGGGGCGGCGGGGCCTGGAGCGCTGGGGCGGCGGGGCCGCGTATCAGGGGCGGCGGGGCCGGGAGCGCTGGGGCGGCGGGGCCGTGAGCGCTAGGGCGGCAGGGCCGCGTATCAGGGGCGGCGGGGCCGGGAGCGCTGGGGCGGCGGGGCCGAGAGATCAGGAGCGGCGGGGCCGTGAGCGCTGGGGCGGCGGGGCCGTGAGATCAGGGACGGCGGGGCCGCGAGCGCTTGGGCGGCGGGGCCGCGAGATCAGGGGCGGCGAGGGCCGCGAGTTCAGGGGCGGCGGGGCCGCGAGATCAGGGGCGGCGGGGCCGCTGGAGCAGGGGCGACGAGGCCGCGAGATAAGAGGCGGTGGGGCCGCGTTCACTGGGTGGCGGGGCCGCGAGGGTAAGGCCGGCCGCTAGGGCGGCTCGGGGAAGGAGTGGCCCGAGGCGCGACTCGGGATGAGTGCGCTTCGGGCAGGAAAAAATATTTCGAGTGGTGGGCCCTAGGCACAGTTCCCACAGGGGAACCTGCTCGATACCATGAGGAAAACTGAACGAGAATGAATGAACTATGAATGAAGTGAGTACAAATATGAAACCCTAGTTGGGTTGTACCCCTTATGGGATACCCCACTATAGCCTACACAACAGCATAAGCTATAATGTTCTGACACGAAGCAGCGAGACTGTGTGTAACCAGGCGTCCCTCAAGGCCGACCAGTCTGGACACCCGTGCGAATAACGTACGGGCAGCGAGCAGTACTCAGCGACCCTCTACTCTATGCGTACCACTCACGAAGCTGCTGGGGTGAACGAGTCTCGCGCGGACGACGCTGCTGCTGCACCGGGCCACTACAAGAAGCTCCCGAACTACCTAGTCCAGGACGACTCCCACTACGGCCACCCCGACAACCCCACCAAGCGTACCACTCACGAAGCTGGTGGGGCATAAGGGACGCACGCGGACGGCGCTGGAGCTGCATCTGGCCACGCCAGGAGCAGCAGTAGCAGTAGAAAGAGCACTTGCAGCAGGAACAGCAGAAACAACATTACGGGCAGGGCAGTGCTCCCCAGAGGCAAGAAGGACAGGCGTACGACGGCGGCAACGGCGAGGCCGCTACCACTGCCGGGCGAGGGCTCCGCGGCATCTGCAGGGGCGGCTGCTCCAGGGGCCAGTGGCGGCAGCTGCAGGGGCGGCTGCTCCAGGGGCCAGGGGCGGCTGCTGCAGGGGCGACTGCTCCAGGGGCCAGGGGCGGCTACTGCAGGGGCGGCTGCTCCAGGGGCCAGGGGCGCCTGCTCCAGGGGCCAGGAGCGGCTGCTGCAGGGGCGGCTGCTCCAGGGGCCAGGGGCGACTGCTGCACGGGCGGCTGCTCCAGTGGCCAGGGGCGGCTGTTCCAGGGGCCAGGGGCGGCTGCTGCAGGGGCGGCTGCTGCAGGGGCGGCTGGTCTAGTGGCCAGGGGCGGCTGGTCCAGGGGCCAGGGGCGGCTGCTGCAGGGGCGGCTGCTCCAGTGGCCAGGGGCGGCTGCTGCAGGGGTGGCTGCTCTAGAGGCCGGGCGCGGGTTAGGGCAGGGCGCCGCGGCGGGCAGGGGCGATGCCGCGCGGGTCCCGCAGGGGCGTCGCGACGAGCGGGGGCGACGCCCGGGTCCTGTCGGGGCGTCGCGACGCGTAGGAGCCGCGCCTCGCAGGTCCCGCAGGGGCGTCGCGACGAGGTAGGGGGCGACGCGCGGGTCCCGCTGAGGCGTCGCGACGAGGGCGGGGCGACACTCGGGTGGCGACGTGGCGGGGTCACGACCGGCGACGGGGCGGGGCCGCGACTCGCGACGTGGCGGGGCCGCGACTGGCGACATGGCGGGGCCGCGACTGGCGACGGGGCGGGGCCGCGAAGGCGCCGCGAGGGGGCCGCGAAGGGGCCGCGAAGGGGCCGCGAAGGGGCCGCGAAGGGGCCGCGAAGGGGCCGCTAAGGGGCCGGGAAGGGGCCGTGAAAGGGGCCGCGAAGGGGCCACGAAGGGGGCGCGAAGGGGCTAAGGGGTCGTGAAGGGGCCGCAAAGGGGCCGCGAAGGGGCCGCTAAGGGGCCGCAAAGGGGCCGCAAAGGGGCCGCTAAGGGGCCGCTAAGGGGCCGCGAAGGGGGGGGCGCAACGGGCCTCAGGAGCAGGGCAGGCCGCTAAGGGGCCGCGAAAGGGTAGGGCAGGTCAGAGCGCGAAGCGCGCTTCGGGCAGGTTAGGAAAAAAAATATATTAATGGTGGGCCCTCAGGAAGAAACGGTCCCACTAGGGAACCCGCTCTATACCATGTGAAGAAAGAGGAATGAACGAACTAGCACAAGGTTGGGTACAAGTAGGAAACCCTAGGAAGTTGTTCCCCTTAGTGTCTATCCCACTATAGCCTAAACAAGCTATATGATAAATGTTTGACACGATCACGCAGCAGATCCCGACAATCGACGGTCCAGGACTGGCTTCTTGTTCCGACTCGAACCAATGGGACCAATCTCCTGGAATTTGCAGAAGCAGGAATTCGTTGCCGTGTCATCAGCCGAAGCAGAATTCATCGTAGTGACCGCAGCAGTTCGCGAAGGCCTCTACCTTCAAGAACTTCTGCAGGAGGCAAAAATTCCAGCTTCGTCCGCCTTTCGTCTTCATTGCGACAACCAGAGCGCGATCCGTGTCGCGAACAATCCTGGTTTCGTCAACCGCACAAAGCACATTGCGCTGCGGTATTTCTTCGTGAAGGACGAAGTGGACAAAGACAAGGTTAACTTGACCTACTGCCCGACCAGTGACATGGCAGCAGACTTTCTCACAAAGCGACTGCCGCGCCAGTAGTATCAGCATTGCTCCGAACTCAGCGGAGTGGTCAAGCAGGTCAAATCGAGCTGCGCCCAGGAGTGAAGGGGGGTGTTACGAATAGTAATGAAGGTTGCAGTGCACTCCCGACCGCAGCTAAAGAAGCACGCAGTATCGAGAACGAATGTGAAGAGTCAAGAGTTGACTCGAAACGTCATACGTTTGGGATGCATCTGGACTGTCAGAAGCAGACGGCAGCGGCAGCTGCAGGCAAGAGGAATCTGGGCGGGACAGTTTCGTAACTGTACGCGCCGCACGGTTGGGAATGAATATGAATAAGGGAATGTACCCCTTAGAGTACATGGCTAGCTAGGTCGATTCGTCTTCCCTGTACTCGTATTTATATTTGTTGTATTTGCATGTTTTAATCATCTCAAGCATTTTACATTCACCCTGCTATTGAGGTGAAGGGCCCACCACCACTAGAAGAGAAGCGTGCGAACCTTCCTGAAGTGATCCTGGTTACGATCAATTTCTGATCGCAGCAGTCTCTAACCTCAAATGAGACTTCCCAGCGTTTCATGTCGGCGTAAGACTTGGCCCAGAAGACTGAAGACCATGGCGCACTCAATTATTGCCCGAATGATTTTTACTTTATATAATTGCCTAGATAGTGATTTACCTGGTTAGGTCATTAAAGCCCGAGGTCAGCATGGTAAAACAAGAACTTCGAGAATCAGGGCGGGGCGAAAGCGAAATCAGGCGGCGAGGAATCAGGCGAACGGGAACAACATTGCGACAGCTATTCCCGAACATCGAAGGGAAGGGGGTGGAAGCGATTCAACGCGCGACTCAACACCCCGCTCGCCCCACCCTACCACTTCCGTCCTTGCGATTGGTTGGAATTGGTGGGGGCGTCACTCTCACCCCATCCCACCACTTCCGTCCTTGCGATTGGTTGGAATTGGTGGGGGCGAAACTCTCACGCGGTATAGGTACCGTACCTCACAATTTTCATACACAATGCATAGCCCCTTGAAAACATATCTGGTTATGGATGTGTAGATGACTATAATACAAAACTTAGGGTATGCCCAAATTATCGGCACGGCAGGAACTGCTGAATGTATATTATAGTGAAAACAAATAACCACAATTCAATAACAATACATTTCGCGTCCAGCACCTTGCTGTCGTCTCCCTGGTGCGAGGCTTCTAGGTCGTCCTCCTGGCAGGTGGATGTGGGAGGGGAGGAGCAGGAGGGGGGAAGAGGCAAAGGAAATGCAAAGCAGGGAGAGGAGAGGCACATGTGCAGGGAGTGGAGGGACCTATGGAGAGGGAGAGTAAAGAGGGCACATGGGAGGGAGCGGAGGGAGATGTGAGAGGCACGAGCAGGGGACGGGATTGGGGGGGAAAATGGCAGCACAACAAATGCAGCAGCAATTGCTTGCTCTTGGGATCTGGCTGGCCTTCAGCTATCATATCCCTCTCACTCCCCTCAGCCCCACCTGCCGTGTGGTTCTCACCCATTGATCCCCTCATCTCATCCCCTGGGCTCACCTGGCGTGTGCCTCTGCCCTGGAGGGAAGCAGGCCAGAAGGTGGGGGTAATCAGGGCAGAGGGTGGGAGGAAGTGGGAAAGGGGGGGGAGGAAGCAGGGCAGGGGTTGGGGGGAAGGAGGGCAGAGGATGGGGGGAATCAGGAGGGAGGGTGGGGGGAAGCTGGGCAGGGGGTGGGGGGAAGCAGGGCAGAGGATTGTGGAAAACAGGGAAGAGCATGGAAGTAAGCAAAGAAGAAGGTGGGGGGGAGCTGGGGAGAATGAGGGAGGGAGACGGGGAAATTGAGGGAGACGGGGAAAGTAGGGGAGACGGGAAGGTAGGGGAGACGGGGAAAGTAGGGGAGACGGGGAAAGTAGGAGAGACGGGGAAAGTAGGGGAGACGGGGAAAGTAGGGGAGACGGGGAAAGTAGGGGAGACGGGGAAAGTAGGGGAGACGGGGAAAGTAGGGGAGACGGGGAAAGTAGGGGAGACGGGGAAAGTGAGGGAGACGGTGCATGCAAGGGCGTCGGGGAAAGGAGAGCAGTAAGTGGGGGAAATCAAGGGTGATTGTGGGAGAAAGAGGGGTGGGGGGGGGTAAGCGGGGGAACAGAGGGGTGTATGTGGAGGAAAGGAGGGAGGCGAGGACGGAAGGGAGGGTGATAAGTGGTGAGAGGGCGGCCTGTCCACCAGGCGAGGGAAGGGAGTAAGGTGGGGGAGGGGATGGAGGGAGGTGCCCGAGCTGGTGAGTTGTAATCGCGAAGGAGGGTGGGGCATGGGACGAGAGTGTGACGAGAGTCAATGCTGGGACACGACGGGCGGATAGGGCACGGGAGGTTGACACAGTGGAGGGGGGTGAGAGGGCAAGCGAGAACGACGATCAGGGCGACGGGGATGGCCTCCCTCCTTGCGAGAGCGAGTGGGCCGACGTGCGGGGCAAGCGTGAACCCCCCCCCCCTCGCCTCACTCCGTCTCATCCCCCCTGGGCCCCGGCGGGTGAGCGCATGCGATTCGGGTAAACACGGACACCGGAAAAGAACCAACTTCCGAAATCAAGTTGAACGGAAGTAGGATCGTGCTCATGTGTTTCGGAGGGTGTAGGTTGAGTTGAAAGAATGCATTGCTGGACACTTTCGATTGGTCGAAACTTGCAAAGCTGCGGAACTCAATTTCGAGTCACGCATTCTCTCATCTTGTTTGGCACGTGCTGGCAGATCGAGTCTTGAATGGCAGGTCTGGCGCAGGCATGGGTGAGATTACCAGGTTCGGATGTGAAACGCTTTGTACATAAGTTGCTGCGATATTTGTTACTTGGCAGGTGGGATTGTTAAACAGTTGTAAAAGTAGTATTTGTTTAAATCCTTGTGTTCCCATTATTGGAGACAAATTTCTTGCACATGATTACAGTTTGAAAGAACAGTAACGTATGTGCGGAAAAAAAATGTGTACATGGTAGGAAATTATGTTGCATCAAACGTTTGCGTACAGGAAGTTATGCAAAATATAGGCATATGTGATGTTACCGTAGCTGGAATGGATTGTTTACCCCGTGCTCGCTTGGGCGACGCTGACTTTCTGGTCGGGCACAAATACTACGGCCGACTATTCAGCAGGGTTCGGGTTGATGTTCGATGGGGTTTTCGACCTGCAGGCGACCGCTGCGATGCCGCCGTCGGTAGGAGCAGGTGGTCTAGTTCGACAGCTGTTGAGGACTGGAGATTGGCAACTGCAGCTGATCTTGCTGGTCGACGGCCCATCTGTCGACCAGAGTAGTTCGACGGGCGCGGTGGTCGTTGAGGGGTTCGTCGACCATGGCGCGCACTGGTGGTCGACCAAGTAACATGCTCGTCGAGTTCTGTGGAGGCACGCGAACGTCGAACCAGAGCCAAGGCTGAAGGTGTAACCCTGTGACCACCGCTCAGTAGCCTGGTCGTCAACCCAAGAAGCGTCTGAGTGCCCAGTGAGAACAACTGAGCTCCTCCCTCCAAGCACGAGCCCCATGCCCGATGTACTGCACAAGTAGCGCGAGACCCTCTTAGCAGCAGCCATGTGCTCCGATCGGTGCCGACCAGGAGCCACGTAGCGAGCCAGAAGGCCAAGAGGGTACGCGAGGTCAGGACGAGTGCAGGTCATCAGGTACATGAGGCAGCCAACTAGCTCTGGGTAAGGACCACTCGGCTCTACAGACTCGTCCGAAGGTGGAGCTGAGAGCGAGTGACCTGTAGCCAGAGGAGTGGCCTGTGCCGAGGACCAGGTAAAGCCGAAGCGCTGAAGGACCTGCTGCACCATGTGTGACTGAGTCAGTGTGATGGTGCGGCGTGCTCTGTCCTGGGTGATCTGCAAGCCAAGGTAGCTGCACAATTCACCCAGGTCTGTGCAAGTGTGTCTCTTCTGCAGCTCCGACTCAGGTGGGCGAGAGCCTCAGTGTCAGCAGTGGCAAAGACCAAGTCGTCGACGTACACGAGGATGTAGAACAGCGGCAGTGAAGTGTCGGTGCGCAGAAACAGCGACGGGTCACCAGTAGAAGGCGCGAACCCAAGAGCTGCAAATGTAGTCCTTAGTGTGTCGTGCCACTCACGTGGCGCCAGGCACAGACCGTAGACCGGCCGCCGGAGGCTCCACTGGGTACCAGAAGGAAACGACCCAGTGAAGCCACGAGGGCGGCGCAGCCAGATCTCCTCGTGCAGGCTGCCCTGCAAGAAAGCTGTGCTGAAGTCAAGAGAGTGAAGCTCGTAGTCACGCTGAGCGGCAACGTGCAGCAGCACCCGAAGAGTGGTCATCTTCGGGGTGGGGGAGAAGGTCTGGAAGAAGTCTACTCCCTCTCGCTCTCTGAAGCCTCGAGCAACGTAACGAGCCTTGAAGACAGGCGGAGAACCTGGCGGCTGCTTCACCCTGAAAATCCACATGCCATCGACGATGTTCGCCCCAGGAGGGGGAACCTCATCGACGTAAGTGCAAGTGGACTTCCAGGATGCCATCTCTGTGTCCATGGCTGAATGCCACTGGGAGGAGTACTCACCCGCGATCGCCTCAGCGTAAGAGCGCAGGGTCGGGATGTTTGAAGCATCCGGGTCTCCCTCAGGTGCAAGCAGCATGGCTACAAGATGAGGTACAGCAGCTGCAAAGCACTCAAACTCCTCCTGCCTGTCCTCAAGGACGTCCGTGCCAAGAGCACACTTACCCCCGACGGACGGAGGAGAGACAGACTCAAACTCAAACTTAGCAACAAGACTCGCATCGTAGTCTAGACGACAGTGAGCATTAAAGTCGACAAGTTCAGCAACTAAGGCAGACGCAGCAGGTGACTCAAAGGAAGGGTCAGTGACAGTAGTGGCCAGGAGACGCGTGACAGTAGGACTAGTAGCATGAAGAGAGTCAGACTCCGGGTCAGCAAGGGCAAGAAGAGAGGACGCAAGAGGAGAAGGCAGCAGGACACGCTGTGGAGCAGTGGAAGGACGAAGCGCCATCTGGTGAGTGCCTGGGACAGCAGGAGGACACTGACGTGGGACACGACGACCAGTGCGAGCAGCACGAACAGGTGACACAGACCGAGACTCAGGCGACACAGGACGAGACTCGGGCTCTCGACGCTCCGTAAGACCGCGTGTCGGACCAGTGTAGGGAGAAGGACCAGGGAGTGGCGAGGCAGGTTGTAACTGTGACTGCGACAAGATAGGCGGAGGACAGTCTAAGGAGGGAGAAGGACAAGGAGGAGGCGGCTGACCAAGAACCTGCTGAAGGAGCGGAACGAAGTACGTTTGCGGCCGTGGAGTGCCCCCAGAACTAGCAGAGACAGCACCAGAACCTCCAGCAGCAGCTCCAACTCCCTCAGCAGCACCAGCAACGCCTCCTGTAGGACCAGCACCAGCAGCACCTCCAGCGACTCCAGTACCTCCAGCTGTACCAGCACTAGCCGCACCATCAGCGCCAGTCCCAGTAGCACCACCAGCAGCTCCAGCAGCTCCAGTACCTCCAGCAGCACCAGCACCACCTCCAGCAGGACCAGCACCAGCAGCACCTCTAGCAGCACTAGTACCTCCAGCAGCAGCAGGGCCTCCAGCGAGCGGCACCCTAACACTAGAAGCTCCAAGTCTCAGCACCGCCAGTCTCAGCACCCCCATGCTCAGCACCCCCAGTCTCAGCACCCCCATGCTCAACACACCCAGACGGAACACCCCCAGGCTCAACACCCCTTGTCTCAGCACCCCCAGGCTCAGTACCCCTCGCAGGACCAGAGTCGACAGCTACCTCGACAGGGTCGACCGGGTCCACCTGGGAAACACCTGAGGGAGAAGCACCTTGGGGAGGGAGGGGGTCTACCGACGGGACACCCGGGGTGAGGAAGAGTGGCGGGGGGGGGGGAGCGGGGCAGCGGGGTAACAGTCACCCTCAACACTAATAGTCAATGCATACATAGCACCAAGGATAGCATCAAAATCAAGAGCAAAGATATCAATGTTCTTTTTAAGTAGATCAGCCCAGCGGGGCAGCTCAGAGGCGTCAGGGAACTGCTCTGTGGCCATAGCTGACAACATCAGACTATTTTCGTCTGTTTGTTTGAAATTTAAGGATATTTTCCATACGTACCAGATTTTTTCAGAGATGGCTGATTTAGAAAAGATTGCCCTAACATCCTTTTGCAACATGTGTGACCCACATGTATGGTGTACATTGATATATGACCTTATTGAACTTTAGCTGATCTCTATCCCTGTGGTAAATCACACGTGCCCAAACGGCATTGGAGCTTTTCTACTTTGTCATTTCTGGCCGTTAGTGCTGGGCGAGTGACTCGTCTACTTCGGCTGGGAGGTTCATTCGAGTTCCAGCTCAGGTGGCACTAATACCACGCAAAGCACCTCATACGTGGTTCATGAATCGTCTGAGCTGGTCGCGTGGCGTTGTTGTACTGGAAGAAATTAGTCAAGTGGGTTTTGTCCCTTGAGAAGCATCTCTTCCGAAGCACCCCAAAAGCAAAGCATGACCACACCTCATCCGTACGAGTTCTCCGAATTCATTTGGATCCATAAAACTTGCTCTCGTAAATTCTCTCCAGAAACTTTGAATTCACTCCTCGACTCCACATCACATATTTCCTTCAAGCTTGCCTTCTCTTTCTCACGCTAATCTCCCACCTCCCAATTCCGCCATCTCTCTTCCTCCTCGTTCCGCCATCCCACCTCCTGGCAGATCCTCATTTCCATATCTTACCAGTCCGTCATTCCACTTCCTCACCTCATCCACCCTGTTTCCTCCCCGTTGCGTCCTCTCACCACGCCACCTTCGCACGATTCTGTGTCACCACTTGGTCCGCGTTTCCACCTCCTCCCCAGTCCGCCACTCCGCCTCCTCCTCTAAACCGCCGTCCCACCTTGCCTTTCCGCCATCCCGTTTCCTCCGCGATCTTCTCATCTTAACGCCTCCCCGTTCCGCCATCCCACTTAGGCACCTTGGCGCCTCACATCCTGTCGCCTTGGCGCCTCACATCCCGTCGCCTTGGCGCCTCACATCCCGTCGCCTTGGCGCCTCACACCCCGTCGCCTTGGCGCCTCACATCCCGTCGCCTTGGCGCCTCACATCCCATCGCCTGGGCGCCTCATATCCCGTCGCCTTGGCGCCTCACATCCCGTCGCCTTGGCGCCTCACATCCTGTTGCACTGGCGCTGTTCCTCCTCTTCGCGTGTGCTCCAACCTTTCTCCTGATCGATCCGCGTTTGTACCTCCTCACCTTTCATCCATCCCTTTTCCTCCCCGTTCCGGCCTCCCACCGCGTCGCC